TGTGTTAGGATGGAAGTTTTTAGGCGGGCGTGTGACATAGTTTAGTAAAGGTGGCTTTTCAAAGCTCACTGTGGCTGTTCTTTTGGGAGTGGACAAAGATGCAGCAGCAAGAGGGAAAGCGGAAAGACTAGTTAGGAGGTGGGGTGAGATCCAGGTGAAAGATGATGTTGTAGACCAGGCAGATGGTAAAAGAGAGGGAGAGAAATGGACATGTGGACTGTTTCAGAGGTGTGGTTGACAGGACGTGCTGGTGGAGTGGATGTGGAGTACAAGGCAAAGAGAGGTGTCAAGGCTGAGTCCTAGTTTTGGGCGAGTGACTGGATGGATGGTGGTATCATATACTGAGTTGGGGAAGGTTTGAGGAGAAGCAATTTGAGGATTGGGTGGTGGAATAGAGTCAAGGTTCTCTTTAGGCTGCATTAAACGCGAGTGACTCTGGGGACTGATAACTGCCCAGAGTCCCTGAGCACTGACGGCGTCGTCCTCTGGGTAAGGCTATGTCTGAGTCTTGCCCATGAATGGAGAAAGCCTGATGTATCAAACACTCCCTTAAACAGGAACACGAAGCACGATTATTTGTGTAACTTCTCCTGGATAGTGATGTAAGCCCAAATATACAGGCAGTCCTGTATTGCAAACGAACTCTACTCCTAAGTCTGTCTTTAAGTCAAATTTGTACATAAGTCGGACAAGTTAGGTACGGTTTGTATCTAATGTCAGTTGGTCAAATGTTTGTCTTACTGTATAGCATATAGTATACCTTTCTATACATAAAAAAATTACAGAAACACTTCCAGATACACTCAAATGTCTTTAACATAATAATACAGTAATGATAATAATAAGGAGCCCTGGTGGCACAGTGGTTAAGAGCTCGGCTGCTAACCAGAAGGTTGGCAGTTCAGATCCACCAGCTGCTCCTTGGAAACCCTATGGGACAGTTCAGCTCCGTCCTATAGGGTCTCTATGAGTCAGAACTGACTTTAGGGCACCTAACAACAATGAAAACAATAATAATGTTTTGATGCGCATTGCAAGCCCCGCCCATTTGTTATTAACGAACCATACCTCAGATTTTTAGGTTGGTTCCTGACTATGAGTTGTACGTAAGTCAGACCTTTGTAACCTGGGGACTACCTGTAAAAAGATACGGCACAGCACAAATTAGGCTTCTCGGAGTACTCAAGCCCTTATCTTGCACGGACAGTGCCATGTCCTCCTTCTGCTCTTTAGAGGTTTCGGTGGCCAGGGAAGCTGCCGCTAGTCTGTAGGAGGCCTTCACTCTTGCTGCCTGTTTGTATATACACGTATACTCTCGGCCGAAAACACTGAGAACCTATGGTGTAGGTATGGGCGTGGCTCTCCCTGTTCCCCTTTGATCACTCGGCACTTGCAGAGCCTGTTGAACACCCCGGGTGGTGTCCCGCAGGAGCTGAATATCCCAGTCTGAGTTTCCAAGGAGAGGCAAAGGCTCAAGACACTGACTTGAACGTTTGTTCTCCTCTAGGTGCTCCCATGGTTTGAAAGTTGGACATCACGTTCCACCTCCGTTATCCCATCTCACTGCCTCTCCCTCTGGCCTTCCTTCCCCTTGCAGTGCCTATTCCTCATGTCTGTTTTCTATTTCACAATTAAAGCAGACTGTTACAAAGATTATAGATAATTCAGTCATTGCCCTTTTGAAAAAATTATACTAACGGAATGACAAAACAATTAAAAAACAAGGAATAAGTATTAGTATGAAGCTATTTATCATATCATTAGCTTAAAAAGTGAAAAAGTAGAAGTGGCATAAATTACCAATTGTCAGGGAATGGTTGGGTAAATTAGGGTGGATCTGCTTGAAGGAATACCGTGCAGATATTAAAAATAAGTTTTGGGCACATAAACAAAATTCAACCTAAATTTCAAGTGAAAAAGACCCAGTTGTTTTGCAATTACATGAAAATACATTTTTTTACCTTAAGGGATACAGAAATAATAACAGTTGCTAGGATATGATGGTAGAAATGATTGTTGAATTTGTTTTCTGTTTTTTACAATTCTTTTGTAATATTATTGCTTTTATAACGTCTATATAAAAGGGGAAGTAAGTGACAAAGTTTCTCTCCAGTGGAAACGGGAGAAAAGGGAAGTTGGGACGTGCATAAACCTTTTAATGCAAGTGTGACGAGAATGAAGTGGAAAAAGAATACGACCGTTCTTGTAGTAGCCACCAGGGGGCGTCATTAGCCCAGAACAGGTTGGTTGCCATCTATGGGCAAAGGGGGACCAACCCTAGACATAGTGTGCAGTGGGCTGTTTATATCTACAGGCTGTTTACAGTTGTATTTGTAATTCAGAGTATTTATTTATTAATCTGTCCGTGTTAATAGATTGAGATTACCCCATTAAAACGAATATCTACCTCCTGTTTGGAGTGAAATTAAATATAGATATCTGTTTGATGGTTTGTTCCTGGATGAACCTATTTCCTATAACTGATTGACTAATATTTACAGACTAAAAGTTTGAAAGATGACAGTGGATTCTGTTCATTCTTCAAAACCATTGCACTTGGTATCCTTTTTTTTTTTTTTTTGGCAGCTTTGTGGTATGTCCTTTCTGCTAAGGGCTGGAAGAACAGGGGAATTCAGAAATAGAATAAATTGGGAGTCTGTTTGCTCAGCTGGTTTCCAGTAATAGTCTGTCCCTAATTTTTTTACTCAGTAAAGTCGCTTGAAAATGCAACTTAAAGAGCCGAGGGCTGTTTCCCCTGAAAGCACCACGCCTGGATGGCAAACATCAATGAGTGAAGTAAATGGAGCAGGTGTGGCGGATCCCCGTGTGGTTCTGGGATCTTTGCCAGTAGATGGATCTTATCAAGAAACGGGACTAGCCCTAGCTTTGCTTTGTGAGTTTGCATTCTTGAGAAGGAAAACAGCTGTTTTGGCCATTTTTGCCAATGGCCTTATTTAAGTTCTGATTTCACACATATCACAGAACATTTGTGTATTAGTCTCTACTTTTTTTAAACTTTACAGTGAATTATGTTGACACCTGCTCTTTTCTCACGTATCAGCTTCTACCTAAAAACAGGTTGTTGTTCTTGCTGTGTGCCATGGAGTCGATTTTCGACTCATGGCAACCTCATGTGACAAAACAGAACTGCCCCAGAGGGTTTTCTAGGCTGTACTTCATTGTGTGAGTTAAAACTACCAACCTTCTGGTTAGCAGCTGAGCACTTAATCATTGCACCACCAGGGCTCCTTTACCTAAAAATATAGTGTTTCTCACATGGTTATGCAATGTCTATGAATGTGATATCACCCTGTAGCAAAAATTTTTTCTTGAGCATTATTGGAGGAAAGAGGAACTTAAGGGATCCAAGCTCTATTTTAGAGCAGAGTGCTGTATCTAGAGCAGGGGTCGGCAGCCTTTTTCTGTAAAAGGCCAACTAGTAAGAATTTTAGGCTTTTCAGGCCAGTATTTTAGGCTTTGTGGGCCAAGTAGTGTCCTTGTAGCACAAGAGCAGCCATAGACAATATGTAAGTGAAAGAGCATGACTGTGTGCCAATAAAACTTTATTCATGGACACTGAAATTTGAATTTCTTAAAGTTTTCACATTTCACAAAATATTTGTCTTTTGGGTTTTTTTGTTTTTGTTTTTTTTTTCAACTATTTAAAAATCTAGAAACCATTCTTAGGTGATAAGCCAAGCAAAAGCAGGAGGGAGGCCACTAGATTTGGCCTGAGGGCCGTAGTCTGCCGACCCCTGTCCTGGATGGATTAATAAGTGATAGTTCTAAAGGATCTCTTAGAGGTGTGGCGCTTAGAGAGTAGGCAAAAGATGTTACAGATCTGAAGTTGCTTCTGGGTCTCCTTGTTTAGGAGAGAGGAGAGTAAGGTCTAGTTTAGAAAGCAACAATGAGAGAAGTCAAGGAAGATGAGGCGGAAAAGGCCAGGGGGAGTGAGCCAGTAATGCTAGGAAATTCCTCCGCTTCTTTCCTGGTGTTTTCTGCAGTTCTCATCTAAGTGAAGTTGTTAGCTAAGTAGCCAAGTAATGTGGAGCAATTCAGATGATCGTTCCTGGCACCCGATTAACAAGTCTTTTCTAGATGAGCTGTGAGAAACAGTGTGTGTGTGTCTTAAGAGCAAAATTCTAAATAGTCCAGCATGAGAAGGGTCTGGAGTCGGTTCCTCCTCAGCTATCTGATTTTCTGCTCTTTATCTTAGCAATTTTGGCCAAAATTTCTAGCACATCATGAGTTTAAAGATTATTCCTATTGTTCTCAGAACCTAAGACATTGGCTCTAAGATTTCAGTTGTCATGTCCTGCAGGACTGGGCCTCACACAAGCCTCTTCCTGCCAGTCCAGCTCTTGCTGCTGCAAGCTCAGGCCGGTCCTCTTCCTGCCCACATCCCCCTGCCCAGCTTTCCTCCCTGGCCTTGACCAGGTAACCGTCCTCATCTCCCTAAACCTCTTGCTGTCCACACTGAGCTCCTCTTTGCTTCCCTCCTTGGGTATTCGAACTCTTCCTTAATTTGCCTGATCCACCTTCATACATTTCTATTCTCTTCTGTCCCATCATCCTAGAAATAAATCACATTATCATCTGGTGGAGAGGTAGTGTTATCAGGTTCTGATTTAGCAATTTGTATTTTTCCATTTTGCAAAAGTTTCAGTGAAATATCAAGCATCACAAGTTGGAGATTTATTGAACAAGCTGATGTGTTTGTAGTTTTTAAGCTACCTTAGCATGGAGATGGAGTCCATTTGTGGTGCAAACAGTTAACATGCTCAACTGATGACTGAAAGGTTGGTGTTTTGAGTCTACCCAGAGGTGCCTTGGAAGATAGGCCTGGCGATCTACTTCTGAAAAATCAGCTATTGAGAACCCTGTGGAACACAGTTCTGCTCTGACACTCGGGGGGTCACCGTGAGTCAGAATTGACTCTATGGCAACTAGTTTAGCATGGAAATATTTAAGTCTTCTTTTTATTTTCTTTATGTTTTCAGATTTTCCACCTTTGACCAGAACTGACTTGCCACGTCAAGAGCTAGCCCAAGAAGATTCTCTCTTACTTGACCGGTCTTCACAAGCAGCCGCTTCCACACCCTCTCATCTGACAGCTCATTCAAAGCCCCCTGATACTTTCTGGAAAGATAGAGTTTCTCAGAAGTTTGGGTCCTCAGATCACTTGGAGAAAGTATTCAAGATTGATCAAACGAGTACACAGCTTCCTGTTTATGAAGAAAAAGGCCAATCTCAGAGTTCACAGTTTTCCCCAAAACAAAAAATAGTTCATCTGCTTCTTGAAAATGTGACTGTCTTCCCAACTACAGAGGCTGCTGTTTCTCCACCTACCGTCTTCGTTACTCCAAACCCTACAGTTCTCCAACCCACCATCCCTTCCATGAGACCTGCTCTAACTTCTCAACCACAGCTGGTCACTGCACCGCCACCTGTTACGACCATTACTTCTCAGCCTCCAATCCTTGTTTCTACAAATCTTACACAAGCTATGATTCCACGCCAAGCCAGCATGACTACAACAGCAGTTCCAACTACCCCCTTTCAGGCACCTAAAGACTTGAAAGTCACCTCGGAAGTGGTGCCTTCTAGAGAAATGTCTAACCTGCCTTTGAACGTTGGGGATGCACGGAACTTCACTACACTTCCTCGATCAAATGTGGATTCCTCTTTTGCAAATAAAACTGCTGCCCAGGAAAATGGGAAGGGCAGCCCAGGCAGTTCCTCACAGAACAACGTTCCACAAAGTCAGTCTGGCTTTCCCTTTGAAAAGTGGCTCCTCATGGGGACGCTGCTGTTTGGTGTCCTGTTCCTGGTGATAGGCCTTGGCCTCTTGGGTAGAATGCTCTCAGAATCCCTCCGCAGGAAACGTTACTCTCGACTAGATTATTTGATCAACGGGATCTACGTTGACATCTAAGGACGAACCTAGATGTCTCTTAACTTGTTTAGTAACTAGTAGAGCAAATGCATGCTTTCTGCTAACTCACTAATCTTAGCAGGATGTTGTATTTTGAAGGCAGGAAAATTCCCCCTACCACTTTCTTTGTTTTTCGAGGATGAGGGGGAGAAAGAACCAAATCAGGTAATATGGATGATCTGTGTCTAAAATTTTAGCTAAAAACAAAGCTCTACCTAAAGTAATAAAGTAAATTGCCTTATAAAATGAAGACTCAACTGGCTGTATGCGAGGGAAAATGGTTATGATTTCTAGGTTCGTTAATATTTCTGGTTCCAGATAAAGTCAATTGTTTATGATGTTAGTTCTAGTGGATTCACTTTCCTTTTATATGAATTCCAATAAAACTTATTCCAGATGTATTTCCTTCCAATTAAATATTTGAATAATTCTTTTGTTATTCAGCAATGTTCTTGAGGGTGACATGTCCAGCTGGATAACTTTCAATTAATTCCCACCAGCAAAATGATTAAAATGATGAAAATACGTGCTTCAAGCTTAAATGACAAATAACCCCCCTTTTTCCCATCAGTGAGCAAAGAGGTTCCTTTGGGAGAATTCTAAAAGAATTCTAGCCCACATAGAGACGGTAAGTCAATTCTGATAAATAGGCAAATCCCTTTCGGGTCTGTTCTAGTTAACTTTTTTTTTTTTTTTAAATAATATAATATTGTATGAGCCTGCTTATTTGAAATATCTAGACTAGGCAAATGCATTGAGACAAAAGCTTATTGGGGTTACCAGGGGCTTGGGAGGAGGGAGGAATGGGGAGTTACTGCTGAAGGGGCACTGAGTTTCTGTCTGGGGTTAGGAAGAACTTTTAGAAATAGATACTGGTGATAGTTGCACAACATGGTGACTGTCATTAATGTCATTGAATTGTACACTTAAAAATAGTTAAAATTAGTGAAGATGAGAAGGTCGGGGGACGGGGAAACTAGATTAATGGAAATGGAACAACCAGAACAGGAATAACAAGAATGTGTATGAATTGTGAAGAATGTAACCAAAGTCACTGAACAATTCGTATAGAAATTGTTGAATGGGAACCTAAACTGCGGTGTACACCTTCACTGGAAACACAATAAAATATTATTTAAAAATAAAAAGACAACCTAGAAAGTAAATCCAGAGCTTCCACCTGATAATTTAGTGAAGTCAAATGCAGACAAGACAACTAATCTTATGAATAAAAACGGTTTAGTAAAAAAAGTTAAAATGGAAAACTTTTTGGTGCATATTTTGCAACAATAATTTTTTTAATTAGGGATTAAAAAAAGTAATATAGACATTTTCTAAATATTCACTGAGTTTAAAATGTAAAAACAGTGTCTATAAATCCTAAGCTAAACTTGACAAGCAGTCAAATTGAGCTTTATTTGGAACGACGTTCGCAGTAATACAGCTGAAACGAAAAACCTATTGCTGTCTAGTTGAATTCCGGTTCACAGCAACCCTATAGGACAGAGTAGAACTGCCCCATAGGGTTTCCAAGTCTATAAATCTTTATGGAAGCAGACTGCCACATCTTTCGCCCATGGAATGGTGATTTTGAACCGTCGACCTTTCAGTTAGTTAGCAGCTGATCGCTAAACCACTGCGCCACCAAAATCCAAACCAAACCCCCTGCCATTGAGTCAATTCTGACTCATAGCGACCCTGTAGGACATAGAGTTTCCAAGGCTGTAAATCTCTACAGAAGCAGACTGCCACCCCTTTCTCCCAAGGAGCGGCTGGTGAGTTCGAACCTCTGACCTTTTGGTTAGCAGCTGAGTGCTTTAACCACTGCACCACCAAGGATCCTTAATAATATATAAGACAACATTTTTATTAGATGATTAATATGCTGTAATTTTTATTAGTTAATGTAAGTTTCCAAGAAATGCTTTTAGTAGAGCTTGCTCGACAAGGCTGCCTGGAATCAGTGTGATAGCTTACCTCTCTGGACTTGAGTTTGCTCATCTGCAAAGCAACAAGTTTGGTCCCAGGGTTTTAAATAGAAAAATGGAATTCAGATGAGAAGTTCATACAGTGAGCACTAGAGGGCAGTAGCTGGTTAATAAGATAGAATGAAAACAAATGTAGGAAATAACAGAAATAGTCTTCTCTTCTCACCTCTCACCCCCTCCCGCCTTGCCACTCCCCCTTCCCACTGGTTCACACTAAGCTCATAAAACACGTTAAGAGGAAAGCGGGTCTATTAGAAACACTACTTTTCATATATTTCCAACTTAACAGCTTGACACAAATCTCCAAGGGTTTTATATAAGCTTTAGGTAGGTTTGGATAAATAAAACCTCGGAATCAATTTAATTTAGCACGTATTTATTGAATATTCACGTGTAGGCCAGAATCAGGTTAGTAACCAAGTGTCTTGGCGTTTATAAATTTCTCCTCTCTTTAATAGATTTGGAGAGTGGAAATAAGGCTTTTGGGGGGATGTTTATAAAAGCTGTCGTGGTTCTCTTGTGGCTGGCTCTCGGCCCACCTTGCTATGGGCTTTCTTTCAATGGAGAAGCAATGGGGAGACCAGATCAGAGGCTGTAGCAAGCAGTAGCTCAGATGGGAGATGCTGTGGGCTGTGGGGATGCAGATGGTGGGAGAGCAGCTGAATGGTGGTGTAGTGATTAAGTGCTACAGCTGCTAACCAAAAGGTCGGCAGTTCAAGTCCACCAGGTGCTCCTTGGAAACTCTATGGGGCAGTTCTCTGTCCTATAGGGTCCCTATGAGTTGGAATTGACTCAACAGCAATGGGTTTGGTTTTTTTTCTAAGAGCAGCTCTTCTCACACAGCTCTCTGTGCTTGTCACCCCCGTCACAGTGGGTAAGACTGCTTCAAGGGCAATCAAGGGGGAAGACACCTGCCGTGGCTGTCTTTTAGATTAACGGTGACTGGCTTTGCCAACGTCTTAGACAAGGTGCACTGAATTACGAGGCCCTCCTTTGGTTTGTGAGAAGGGAAGGTGGCAGCCTAGAACAGGTAGGAAGACTAGGAATGTCTCCTTGCTCAAAAATACCCTCTTTCCGTGTTTTACTGACAAGGTACTCACCTGGCTTTTTAAATACCAAACCCGTTGCCGGTCGAGTTGATTCCAACTCATAGCAAACCTGTAAGGCAGAGTAGAACTGCCCCATAGGGTTCCCAGTGAGGGGCTGGTGGATTTGAACTGCCAATTTTTTGGTTTGCGGCCGTAGCTCTTAACCCCTGCACCACCAGGGCTTATTAAAAAGCTACTCTTAAAGCAGCTGATGACTCCTGAAGAATTAAGCCTATGGGTTATTCATTCTAAAGTAGGAAATGCCGCCATGTTCTTGTTTGTCTATTATTCTTGGCCTGAGTGAGGCCAAATTTGAAACTCTTTGGCTCCCAGATTGTGGTGGGCACCGTCAGATGTCCACCGGAAAGCTGTCCCCCACCTCTCACTTTTGCTTCATTTGTTATAGGTTGGAAGTGCCAGATTCTCTCTTTCCCAGCCCGTCTTACAGTTGGAGATGGGCCTGTGAGCCAGTTCTGGCTGAAAGGAAACCTACTGGGGGCTTCCAGGAAGCTCCTCCTTGATAAGAGAGGGTTGCATGAGGAGGAGAGCCCTTTTTGCCCCCGTCCCCTTGTTTCCTGCTTGGAATGCTGGTCGTGTAAGGACTTGATACTGGGAGCCACCGCAGCCTTCCTGCCATGATGAGGGAGGAATCACTAGCACATCACTAACACTGTACCTGCCACAGCTTCTGTTATCATGAAGAGAAGATCGAGCAAGATGCCATTTGTTTGCATATTTTAGGAGAATGGGATACAATCCAGGTACACAGTGATGAAGCGTACACTGGATTTTAGCTAGGACCACATGCTGAGGAATCAGTGGATGCAACTTCGCTTACTTCTCTCCTTCCAGTTGAGGTAGACAGTTTACTTGGCCTATAGGCTGGGTGAACTAACAGAATGTGGTTTTGTTTGTGCTCTTGGATTTTTGGTTAATTTTTCATTAAGGTGACTTTTAGCGTACTTTTATAGTCATCCTGAGGCTCAGAATCTAAGTTATCTGTCCCCAAATTATCATATCGGTTAGCAAAAGAGCAAAACTAGAAAGAACTGAGGCCTCCAGCCTTCCTGCTGAGTATCCTTCCCGCCCCACTGTACTACCAGGAGCAGGGGTGTGTCTCTGAAAACAATGTTCTAGGAACATTGCTGTGAGTCAGAATCGACTCGACAGCAATGGGTTTTAGTAACACAAACAACCAGACATTGGGGGAGGGAGCAGGGTCCAATTGTGAGTTTCAATCTCATTATATACTATGCAATTTATAATGTTTTTAGTAAACATTTGCTTTCCATCTGATCTCTATGAGAAACATTCATTTACATTTAAATAATAGAAAGCAAGGGCACGGGACTTGTTAAAGACAAAATTGCGTTCCTGTGATTGATTATATGCAAATATCATCTTTATCAAAGGCTAGCAGAATGACCTCTGCAACTTTGTATTTGTAACCACCTTTTTATATGAATATGTCTTTGCAGTAACATTGGAAGTGCGTGGTGATTAGCACTTCATCTTACATTTCTTTTTATGCGTTAGAGTCAGGCATTGTTTGCCTATTTTTTTCAAGGAGCCCTGGTAGTGCAGTGGTTAAGCGCTCGGCTGTTAACCGAAATGTCAGTGGTTCGAAACCACTAGCTGCTCTGAGGGAGAAAGATGTGGCAGTCTGCTTCCATAAAGATTACAGCCTTGGAAACCCCATGGGGCAGTTCTCTTCTCTGTCCTTTAGGGTCGCTATGAGTTGGAATAGACTCAATGGCAACAGGTGTATAGTATTTTTTTCTCATTGAGTCCTAATTATGTGTTGTAAAGGAGGAGACAAATACAGGTCAAAGAGCTGAAGGACTTGCCCCACCTTGTCCTCTGCCTCTCTGACCTTGCTTTTTCTGCTGTAACAGCTCCTGCTAGCCTCCTTTTCATGGGATGGCAGAAAGCCCACAATGTAGCCAGGTAAGAATTATGGAAGTTAGAAGTGGTGGGATCTTTTATAGGTCGGGCCTGTGCTGCCTCTCATCTGACTTGCTCTTCTCCGCTCGGCACCATCCTCAACCCCTTAGCTCCTGAGACACGTAGTCCCCTCCCGGATCACCCTCTGCCTGCAGAGCTTGGCTGCCATGTGAAGTGGGAGAAAGGTGGAAGGGGAAGGCTCTGTTTGAGCTGCCCACCTCCTCAGAACTTCACAGGTTCTCACAGTCCCTAAAAAGCCGGCTTCAGTCGCACCAGCAAAGGAAAAAAGGAAACACTCATTTCCAGCTCTCACAACCCATACCTGCTCACACGCGTTTGGAGGTCTTTTAGGCAGGCTTATACATAATAAAAGGAGCCCTGCAGTAGAGGGACTTTGCCCAGCGCTGTTACACCTGCCTTCCCCTTGCTGTTTGCATAGCGTTGGAAACCGTCCCCAGCTGCACTAACAGAACACACCTACCCCTTACAGGATGGATGGCCCCCTACCCTCCTCCCTGCAATGGAGAGGAAAAAGGTACAACTTTGAGAAAAACAAGTACCAAAGATCGATGGTGTGTACTGAACTTTAAAATGTTAAATTACGGTGAACATTTTTTTGGAAAAGAAACTATCTTCAAAATTGTGCTACATAATAAAGCTAATGGAATCCATATGTCGCCTACTAAAACTTACAAAAACAAACTAAAAACAATACTTTCGCGCCTGCCAGGCTGAAATGTGATCTTCTTCTTAATATTCACTCAACCCAGAGTAAAATGCTTTAAAATGGTAGTGATTCCAAAGTGCAGCCAGAGCTCAGTGGATAAACAACAGACCTCCAACCCAGGGGGTTTATGTTCTAGTCCTAGCTCTGTGCAACTCACTTAATCTCATGGTTTCTTCTCAATTTTCTCAGCTGTAAAATGGGAATCTCAGTACTTTACAAGGTGTTTACACAACGTACTAAAATGATTGTAAAGCATTTTACAAATGTTTAGTAACTGATGCTCTTTTCATAATTGGGCTTTATAATATCTTGGTGTTTTATTATCCATTCAGTGGAATGGAAAAAAAAAAGGACAGTATTGATTCAGAGCTTGCTATATAGCAAAGGAGTCAGCCACCATCACTTGCATTCGGTAGAGACTCAAAGCAGACAGGAGAATGGGAAAGCTTTATAAGGGGA